CTTAAGACTGCCAACTCTGAGGCAGACTGCATGATGACTTTTTATCTACTCCTCCAATCATATCTGAGAATTCTGAGTTGATAAGTAGAGGATTGTGCTGTTAAGAGAGCAGTCTGAATCAACTATTGGAGGTTGGGTTTTTCAATTATTTGTTCACTGCCCTGGATTTCTTCTTATTTAGGATTGAATTCTGTATCTATTTTAATATTGTTTTAACTAGGAGACAGGAAACATATTTAGCAGTGAAAATGAAATTTTCAGAGTCTTTTTTTTTTTTTTAAGGCCATCAAGTGTATAGTAATAACTGATTAGGAAATTTCTCTGATGAGTCTACCGGTAATTGGACTTAGCCCCAAGAGATTTGGTTAATGATTTGAAGGCATTTTCCAAATTAATTCATGCTCGGAAACTAACTAGAAGCTTTTCAAGTCCTATTGTTGAGAATTTTGACATGGAACTACCAGCACAATTCTTACTCTGGACACGTCAAGAGTCTATTAAGAGATTCATCCTTACCTCTGTTGTGCAACCAGTGCTTGAAACATTATTTCCAGAGATTAAAACAACTGATGTCAAGATACAATCCAATGTCAGCTATTGTTTATGTCCTAAATAGAAGCAGTCACCCTGATTGTCATCCCCACCTCCTCTAAAGCAAAAATAGGATACAGGGTGTGATGCCAATATGAGAATATGCTGTATTGGACATGTCTCTTAATCACATTCAAAGTCATCTTCAAGATAATCCTGATTGGAAGCCTCAGCTAATTATCTTCTAAAGCAATTCTAATTTAGGTACCATGTCAGCTCCAAGTGAAACAGTCATGTTTGGGGAGGGAAGTGGACCTTGGGTTCCCCTTAATGTACCCACAGAAGGTGAGTCATCATTTTCTCAAACAAGTAATCTTGGAATTATTACTGGGGCTTCTAACAGCAGGGTTCAAAGCAGTAGTTGTCAGTCTGGTGGGAAAACAAGCCCTGCAGGACAATGACTCCAGATCATCATCAACAACAACAACATTAAAATGTAAGTTTGAACAAATCCACATCAATACTTTATTATTTGCACCTACAACGGAGCCACCATCACCATAGCTGTGAAAATTCTACATAAGCATCCCAATCAGATGCAACCAAAAAGTTTATATTTAAAAACCATATGTTGGTATAAGAGACAGTGTAGAATTGGGAGCTCCAGATTTTTGACTGTTTTCCTTTTTGAAGACGGTGCAAGAGAAATTGCTATATCACAAGATCATCAAAGAGGATTAGGCTGCTACTTTCAAGGTTTTTATGTAGGATAAAGACTGGAGATCACATTGCTAGTTATGGGACCGAACTACTTGTTTCACCTTTCCAAACTGTAAAATGCATGCATATTTCCAAGAATGGTAGAATGGGTCATCTAGTCCAACCCCCCACAATGGAGGAATCTCAACTAAAGCATCCCTGACAGATGGCCATCCAACCTGTGCTTTAAAAAACCCCAGTGATGGAGAGTCCACCACTTTCCATGGGAGTCCTTCCACTGTTGAACAGCTCTTACTGTCAGACAGTTCTTCCCAATGTTTAGTCAGAATTGTCTTTCTTGTAACTTGAAGCCATTGGTACGGGTCCTACCCAACGGAGAAGGAGTAAACAAGCTTGCTCCATCTTCCATGTGACAGCACGGCCATCATATCATCTCTCGGTCTCCTCTTTTCCAGGCTCCTTCAGCTGTTCCCCATAAGGCTTGGTTTGATGACCCTTGATCATCGTTCCAGCTTTTCAATCTCCCTCTTACTGGCCACAGTGATCCATGCGACGGTCACCTCCAGGCTTGACTACTGTAATTCGCTCTATGCAGGGCTGCCCTTGAAGCTGTCCTAGAAACTCCAGCGGGTGCAGAATGCTGCAGCGAGGCTCCTCACAGGGTCTCTGCCATGGGAGTATATTCACCCAGTGCTTTTCCAGCTGCACTGGCTCCCGGTGGAGTACAGGGTGAGATTTAAGGTGCTGGTTTTAACCTTTAAAGCCCTTCATGGCCTAGGATCCTCATACCTACGGGACCGCCTCTCCTGGTATGCCCCACGGAGGACTTTAAGGTCCATAAATAATAACACCCTAGAGGTCCCGGGCTCTAAGGAAGTTAGATTAGCATCAACCAGAGCCAGGGCCTTGTCAACACTGGCTCCAGCCTGGTGGAACACTCTGTCTCATGAGACCAGGGCCCTGCGGGATCTGATTTCTTTCCGCAGGGCCTGTAAGACAGAGTTGTTCTACCTGGCCTTTGGCTTAGAATCAGTTTGATTCCCTCCCCCTCTTTCTTTTTCCTTTCTCCTCCTGTGAAGAGGCTGCATCCTAATGTTTTAATGTTATTTTAATCTTGTTTTTTAAATTGTATTTTAATCAACTTGTTTTTATTATTGGTTGTTAGCTGCCCTGAGCCCTGGCTGGGGAGGGTGGGGTATAAATAAAATTTATTAATATTATTAAATTGTGGTGCCCAGAACTGGACATAGGACTCCAGAATAAAGTGGTACTATTACTTCCCTTGATTGGAACACTATATTTCTGTTGCTGGAGCCTAGAATAGCATTGTTTGTTTTTGTTTTTTGCTGAATCACCTTGTTGATGCATATTAAGCTTGTAGCCTGCTAAGACCCCTAGATCCTTTTCACATGTACTACTGGCAAGCCAGGTGTCCCCCATTTAATATTTGTGCAGCTGGTTCTTCCTGCCTAAGTGCTGAACCCCTACATTTGTCCCTATTGAAATTCATTTTGTTTGTTCTGGCCCAGTTGTGTGTTGAGACACCGAAACCACCCCCTCGTTGAGAAATAATACACACAAGGATACCGACATTAGGTTAATGTTAATTGGGAAAATTTTGGCTACAACTTTATTGATTACAGAATGTGAGCGGTATTGGCTTAGGCATTGAATGGACCTGACTGTATCTGACCACGTCCGCCGCCCTCAGAGGAGAGTGGGTGGCCACGCGGTCCACCGCAACTCCTCCCCACATGGAAGCAAAGCGGATTTCTCCAATCTGTTAAGGTCATACACCAACTTGCGGTACATTGTAACCAGCTTCTACAACTATTAGGAAGGTAAGCCAGGCCATTCATAACAGACAGTAAATGGGAAACATAAATCTCGGAATGTTTGGATACAATTCAATGTGTTATTCGTCTTTAGTATTTAAGATCCTGAATGGCTTGGGGTCAAGGTACTTATAGGATTGCGTTTTCTGATACCTACTGACTTGTGCCTTAAATTCGGGGGGGGGGGGGGTGACCTTCTTGTCCTACCCAATGAGCATGACCCTCTTCGCACCGAGGTGCATAAGAACATAAGAAGAAAAGCCTGCCAACTGCCCACCTGGTGCATCCTGTTCCCATGCCAACCAGATGCCTGTGTGAAACCAGTAATCAGGACCTGAGCACAAGAGCACTTTCCCCTCCTCCAATTCCCAGCACCTGGGATTCAGAATATTCACTTCCAAACTAAGCAGAGCATAGCCATCATGCTTAGTAGCCATTGGTAACTTCATTCTCCAAGAATTTATCTAATCTTCTTTTGAAGCCATCCAAGTTGGTGGCCAAGCTGGTGCAGGAGCAAGTTCCATAGTTCAACTGTTTGTTAAATTTGTATACCACCCTTCAGCTAAAGATCACAGGGCAGTTCACAACGTAAAAATACAAAATGTGCTGCAGGAAGAAATACCTTATTTTACCTGTTGCGAATCTTGCGATGGGACAGCTCCTTCTCCTTTTCTGTGTTTTATCTCCCAGCATTGTTTTGCCAACAGTTAAAGATGCATTTATTTGCCTGGTCCTTTAGGCAAGCAGCTTTAGAGTAGATGCCCTGTTATTCCTCACCTGCTGTGCTTTGCATCTTTAAACAATTCTACTGATACCATTTCATAATTGCTGTTTCAAGTGTTTTAACTCGATTGGTTTTTTTTGACTGTACACATGCCATCCTGCTCTCCCATGGGAGGAAGGGTGGAGTAAAATAAATGCAATACATAACTAAATAAAATAAATACATGCTTCAGAGCATTCTTCACCAATGACCTTTTTTTGAGAGACTTCACAAAGCGAGTGTGTGTGTCAAGCTCAGTAGATACATCACTGAGATAATTGTGGAAATTGGAGAAAGGGAATAATTCATCCAAAAACAAAGACTTTTTATTTTAAATCTCTTTCTAAAAGGAGGGAAACATGATTACTATTAAAAACAATGAAGATTCTGGCGGCAACTTTTAAGACTGTATGCTGTGACTGGATTACCTATGTGTCCTTATTATTAGCCTGAGGCTAATATTCTGTCATATTCAATCATCCCCTACACTCCCAACCAATCAATGTGTTCTGTAGGAGAGAGCATCCTGCAGATACCTTCCAGTCAGGAGCTCCATTCCACACAATTTCGGTCGGAATCAGGCCTTTGGTGTGGCAGCACCTACCTTTTGAAACTCCCTCCCATTGCATACTCAGACAAGGGTCTTCCTTGTTTTCTTTTCAGCGCCTGCTAGAGACATTCCTCTTTCAATAAGTCTTCTTAGAATCTATGACCCAGTTTGGGAATCTGTCTTGGATCTGAACTGATATGAATGTGCTGCTGCTGTTGTTTTTATATACGGGAACACCTGCTTATGTGGGGGTTTTGTTCCTGGCCGCCACACACACAACTCCGTTCTGCCCCCCACCCCCTTTCTGCATGTGTGCACAAGTCACAGCATGCCAATCGCACACAAGCAGTGAGTTGCCTGTATTTGTTTTTCAACTTTTTAAAAATAAACGTTAACTGTTTTCATATCTATTATTATATTGTAAATCACTTTGTGGTTTGTCATGGGAATCAATTCACGAAATAGATAGGTAAGTTCTACCCCAAACGTCTGCCATTTTGGGGTTTTTTAATTGTTGTTTTTATTAAAGACTTTTCTTGGGTTACAAACTTCTGCCATGTTGTGGCAGACACCAGGAAATGAATCTGTATGTGTGAAAGCAGCTCCAAATAAATTCATATGGGAAATAATACGGATCCAATCCAATCCCCACCCCCGCACCCCTCTACGTTTTTCAGAGAACTATTGTTATGATCAGGAAGGCAGAAGTTGTCCAGTCACTCTCCAGTTACTTTCTGAAGCAAGGAAGACTGCAGAAACAGCGCATGCATATATTCATGAAGCAACAGGACTTGGTCTTCAGCGCCATACCCTGAACTGGATTGATCACCCTTAAGTGACTCACTTGCCGCGTTTCCATTAGCAATTTCTTCTATGCAGATTTTCCCCTCTCCTCCTGGCATGTAGAGGCTCCCTCAAGTGGCCATTTCAGCACCTGAAGCTGAGTTAATCTTAAAATTAGTCAGGAGAAAGGCTTGGGGTTTCAAGAACAGATGCAGCCAAATGCAGAATTATGGTCTTCTATGGAAGACTGCAGATTTGTTTTTAAAAGTCTGGTTCAGAATTAATGATAAGTTGCTGCAAATGTTAATGCTTTCCTTACCAAATGCATTTAGCTTGATGATGAGAAACATGAAGATGCTCATAGCATTCGGTCATAAGCTGTATCGCTTATAACCTTGGGCAGTGCCTCAATATATGGCTCGATGCATGGCATGCTAGCAAAAACAGATGTTCTTATGGTATGGAAAGAGGGAATAATATCCACCATGAAATCTTTGTAAGATAATACAAGATGACACTAGAGCCAGACAACACAGAGCAATGGTCTGAGTCAGTATAAGGTAACTTATTGTTTTATTTTTTCCTAATGGACAGGAGACATCACAGATCATCTTCATGTCATACAAAGATGAGGTGTGGTTTTCAGGCTATTTCCATTTCCTGTGTCCCACACTCCTCCACGTTCATCATCCTGAACCATGAGAGTCTGCAGCTCTCTTCATGTGTTACTTGTGGGGGGCAAGTGTGGCAAAGGGTTGTGGGGCAGTGTGGTATGGTGGCTACAGTATTGGACTAAGGCCTGGGAGGACAGGGTTCAAATCCCCCACTTAGCCATGAGGCTCACTGGATGGCCCTGGGCCAGTCACAGCCTCTCAGCCTACCATACCTCACAGGATTGTTGTGGGAATTACATGTGGAGCAGGAGAACCACCTCAACCTACTTAAAGGTGAGATAAAAAGACAATCATCAATCCATCCATCAGTTTAGAATATTTCTCCCCGCACAAACACAATTTTTAGCCGTGAAACAGCTAAAGATTCTTACAATAAAAATCACATTCAGGTCTGGTATCAGGAACAAGTATAGCATTGTGTCTCTATGGTGCAAGGATTGTTCGTGTGGCATTTCCTATTCCTGGTCTACAATGGTGCCTTCCTAGGCATCAGAGTCCACTAGCATCCTCCAGGGAGGCAAAATGGGGTCTCTCTGTGTGTGTGTGTGTGTGTGTGTGTGTGTGTGTGTGTGTATGTGTGTGTTTGAGTATCTGGATCTCGCCCTGTGCACGATGGAGGCGAGGTTCATAATTTGCATTTAAGGATTAAGATTAAAAAGTAGAAACAAAACCCAGAGCTTTGTTTTTCCAGGGGAAACAGGGTGTTCAAAGAGAAAGGCTGCCCCCTTTATGCCAACCCTCACCCTACAAAAACAACTGTCCTCGCTAGCAGCTTCCCTCATGCATCAGTCAACAAAAACGCATCTCTGAGCATGAAGACCTGTTGGCACAGGCAGCCACTCATTCAAAAATACCATCTGTGCTTTCATGAAACTAGCAGCAGTGACAAAGTGCATGTGAATTCCCAGTATTCATAATAATCAAACAGTCTGAAAAATCCCCTTCGTAGAGCCAGCTTCCCACACTAGGAAGCTCCTTCAGTATTAAAGCCAACAGCACCACACATTTCTGTTCCTACAGAGAAGCAGGGATTATAGAGTGTACCTGGTTGATGCATATCGCTAATCCAAACCATGGTTCAGCATGAATGTGCTGGTTCTCAGAGGAAAGTTGGTTGCCACTTGGCTCATCCCCTAGTCCTGCCATAGCCATGCTATCTGGGGATAAGCTTTGGTTTGGCTTTGCATTATGTCCAAACCCAAGCTCATGATTTTTTCCTCCAGAACAGTTTCCCAAACTTAGGTCTCCAGCTGTTTTTGGACTACAACTCCCATCATCCCTAGCTAGTAGGACCAATAGTCAGGGATGGGAATTGTAGTCCAAAAACAGCTGGAGACCCAAGCTTGGGAAACATGGCTCGGGACAAACCACAAGCTGTGACCACAGTTCTTGTTTTACCATGTATGGTTTGTCTGGGGAAGGCAAAGCATAAGCTCATTTGAGGATGCAACACTGAGCATAGCCTTTCTCACCGTCTCTCTCACTTACTCTAACTTAAATAAACTTTTAAAAAAACTTTTGCATGTCTGTATAACAATTGGAAGCCACAGCAGTGGCTGTGGCAGAACGAGGAAGGAAGTTTGGGAAACACTGAAATGGCCTTATAAACAACTAGGTGTATCTTTATTTTTTACATAGAGCCTTAGAAAAATGTAAACTGCAGCCATCTAATGGTGAAGATGGGTACTGCACTCTTCTCGTAAGCCAGCCCAAGAGGTTTTGCTGTAAAAGAATCCGATTTACACGTTGGGTGCTAATTTGTTAGACGTTTGTATAACTTATCATATGCTGAGGAACAAATTCATGCTTGGGGTGCTGGCTACAGGTTCCCTCCCCTCGTCTGACTGGTGCTGTTGTGCAGCATCCCAGGATACAACCTGATCTTTCATCAATCAAGGCCAGTTTTAAACGTCCTGTTGTCCCTAAGTGCCATTCATGAGCAAGTCCTGGCATTCCGACAAAGATCACTAGAAGGTAATTGGACATTCCCCCCCGCCATGCTCTTTTAATAATTGGGATGGGGATTTTATTTTATTTTTAATCATTTTTTAAACTCGTTTTGCATTTGAACATTGGTACCCACGCAGGTGGCACTGTGGGTTAAATCACAGAGCCTAGGGCTTGCCAAACAGAAGGTCGGCAGTTCGAATCCACGCGACGGGGTGAGCTCCCGTTACTCGGTCCCTGCTCTTGCCAACCTAGCAGTTCGAAAGCACATCAAAGTGCAAGTAGATAAATAGGTACCACTCCGGCGGGAAGGTAAATGGCGTTTCCGTGCGCTGCTCTGGCTCGCCAGAAGTGGCTTAGTCATGCTGGCCACATGACGCGGAAGCAGTACGCTGGATCCCTTGGCCAATAAAGCGAGATGAGCGCCGGAACCCCAGAGTCGTTCGCGACTGAACCTAATGGTCAGGGGTCCCTTTACCTTTACCCATCAGGCATGTGTGCTTCGTGTGTTATGATATAGGAGTATAAGTTAACCTCTGCAGGATAAAAGAGAGAAGAAAATGACTGAAATAATGTGATAGTATTCACACAGACACCATGGAGTGGTTGCAACCCCTGCGTTACAACTCCCTCTGTCCTGGGGGTGAAGGGTGAAGAAGCCCGTTTGGAGGACCAAGACCTATTTGACAATCAGAGGGGTGGTGGCGCTGCCCCTTCTCTGATACCTGCAATCGCCTTTGGGAAAGGTGGAGCACTGTCCTCTCAAGTCTCGAAGAGGTGGCTGCCGATTGCCCAGTCAGAGACCTGAAGAAGGCTGCCCATGCAAGGAGCACAGCCCTCTGAGCAGCTTGGCTGGAGCGGCAAAAGAAGACAAAGGCCCAAGAGGAAGTAAGGTCCGAGGAGGACTGAGAGGAGAAAGAAGGTGGAGGGAGGAGGAGGAAGGACTTCCCTTCTGGAAATGAAGCATGGAGATGGGTGTCTAATTTACTAGGAGCGTGGGGGACGAGGAAAGTCCCCCTGGTCCATGGACTGCATGCCACTGATCAAATGTTTACTCAAACATCTTCAACAAGTGTAAGAAGCACTACACTTTCCTAGCTACTGTGCACCAAAATTCTCCCCCACTTTCCAAGAGTAAGGCAGGGAGGAGTAGGGAAGTGGCTATAGGAGAGAAGAAGCATTTCTATTCCCATCTTTCCACCATCCAGAAAATGGAAGCCTTGTGACCGTCACCAAGCAAACACAAAAGTCCAGTGGTTCAAGTAACGCAGGCATCCCCAAACTCAGCCCTCCAGATGTTTTGGGACTACAACTCCCATCATCCCTAGCTAACAGGACCAGTGGTCAGGGATGACGGGAATTGTAGTCCCAAAACAGCTGGAGGGCCAAGTTTGGGGGTGCCTGAAGTAAGGTATGAACTGTTATGCATATTCAAAAGTGTTGTCGTGAAACTGACCTTGCTATCTAATTTACATACAGTGGTACCTCGGGTTACATATGCTTCAGGTTACATACACTTCAGGTTACAGACTCCGCTAACCCAGAAATATTACCTCGGGTTAAGAATTTTGCTTCAGTGTGGGAACAGGAATCGTGCAGCAGCGGCACAGCGGCAGCGGCAGGCCCCATTAGCTAAAGTGGTGCTTCAGGTTAAAAACAGTTTCAGGTTAACAAACGGATCTCCAGAACGATTTAAGTACTTAACCCGAGGTACCACTGTATTTGGAAATTGCCAGACATGTGTACCCACTAGAGGGCCAGTGTGCCATAGTGGTAGAGTGCTGGACTACGACCCAGTAGAGCAGGGTTCAAATCCCCACTCAGCCATGAAGCTCTCACTGGGTGACCTCAGCCTAACCTGCCTCTTAGGGTTGTTGAGGGGATTAAATGAGGAGGGGGGAAGCCATGTATGCTACATCAAGCTCCTTGGAGGAAAAGGTAAACTATAAATGCAATAAAAATAAAATAAAATTACAATAGAAAAGGATGTGGAAATGTCATTCTGATGGTGTCAACATTCCTGGTGCTGCTACTAATCCGGGGACATTGCTATTGATCAAGGAAGGCTTGTGATCTGCCTAATTACTGAAGGCTGGGACACCAAACAGCATGTTGAGACCGACTTTCCAACTGTGACATTAACTTTCTAGATGATAACTTCTTTTCTATTTGTTTTAAGACTCTGATAATTTGGGGAAAGGGAGAGAAGCAATTTCATGCCTCAGGTGTAATACAGATTGCAGCTTCTTATCCCAAACTGGCAGTAAAGCTACCAGACACATTGAAACTAATATACATTCAAAGGCTTTTGCTACTAGAATAGTAAATTATAAAGTAATTGCAACAAGGCCCAAATGTTTGAAGGCCCAAATGCTGAATTTTAATATTGCTTAAGATTCAGGTCCATAGGTACAACCTCTCTTGACCTTTGGCTTTAAAGACGACCAGAACATTTCCCCTCTTTTTTCTTCTTGTGCCAGTAACTGGCTGGCGTTAATTTCATTTACACCTGGCTAAGCAATGGCCTGTTGTCTTTGTCCATGGAGTTTTCTTGGCAGGGATTGCCGGTTCGAATTGATGCTTTTGAATTATGGTGCTGGAGGATACTTTTGAGAGTCCCATGGACTGCAAGAAGATCAAACCTCTCCATTCTTAAGGAAATCAGCCCTGAGTGCTCACTGGAAGGACAGATTGTGAAGCTGAGGCTCCAATACTTTGGCCACCTCATGAGAAGAGAAGTCTTCCTGGAAAAGACCCTGATTTTGGGAAAGATGGAGGGCACAAGGAGAAGGCGACGGCAGAGGACAAGATGGTTGGACAGTGTTCTCGAAGCTACCAGCATGAGTTTGACCAAACTGCGGGAGGCAGTGGAAGACAGGAGTGCCTGGTGTGCTCTGGTCCATGGGGTCACGAAGAGTCGGACACGACTAAACAACAACAAAGCAATGGCCAAGGAAATGACTCTTCCAGTGGGAGGAGGGTCCACAGCTCAACCGCAGAATATCTGCTTTGCATGCAGAAGGTCCCAGGTTCAATCCCTGGCATCTCCAAGTAGGGTACAGAGCCATCTGAAACTCTGGAAAGCCAGAAAGCCACTGCCAATCAGTGTAGACAATATTGGGCTAGATGGACCAATGGTCTGACTCAGTATACGGCAGTTTTCAACATTCCCAAAGGGGAATGTCAACAGCAGAATAAGCTACACTTTCCGCTTGCCCCCGCCACCTAACAAAAATATGCAAAGTTCATCACAGTTTTTCTAAAATGCTCAGATATTAAAATAGAGCAAGATGTCAAGTACTGACATTCCCCTATGAATTAAACATATGCTTTAGAACAAAGCTCACAGTATCATTTTAATGATATATCTGTTGTTGCTTTTGCTCGTTGTTCTAAAAGCCTCAGCACATTCTCTCCATCTTTTAAATGCTCGTGACTGTCTGTTCCACCATTCAGTGCAGCAGTAACAGACACGTTAATTGAAATGTTTATGGTCCATTATATTCATTCCATGCCACAACATCTTCCCAACTTTTTAAAAAGAAGGGGAAGTGCTTCATTTGCCAAAGACAAGGATTATTGCTAGTCCCTTTTTTTGTAATTGCGGAGTAATCAGCACTTTACATTCTATTTACATTTCAAAGCAACAAGGAGCCCTATTCAGCAGCTGTGTAATTATGTTTCATTTGCAGATCACATTCACTCTCAAATAATATTCTCCTGGTGGTCCATGGTGTGTGTGTCACTTGTGCAATAGTATATTATTATTTCCTTTATTGATACCAGGAGTTATGCAAGAGGGCAGCACTTGACAGCAGCGGTGGATCTTTCTTTCAGCAAGTAGTCAATCCAAATTTCCAACAAAGGCATCTGTTAAGTTGAGAATGAGACAATCTGGGAGATGCTCAGCTGTAGCTGAAAACACCAGCCACCTTGGCTCAAGGCCTTTCGAAAGACCATGAAGGCCATTAAGTTGAAGGAGCTCCTAAATAAAGTTGGTTGTATCATTTCCCAGAGCCGGTGATAACCAACAGTACGTTCTTCCTAAATGTTCTTCTGCGCAAGCTTATTTAACAGGACCAAACAAGGTTTATGTGAGCTTTTGAGGGACCCCAAATGCTTCCTAGGGCTCAGTATTCAAGAAAAACAAATTAGAAAGGGGGAAAGCAGATGTCCTTGAGTAAATGTGCAGGGTTAAACTCTTGAGGTAGGTTTGAAGACGGCAAGAGAGCTCTTTTGTCTAAAGTGAAATGCATGGTGCGATCAGAGAGGAGTCTAATGTTTTTAATTGCCATCTTTTCATTCATTTGTATTATCATTATTATTATTATTATTATTATTATTATTATATCCCGCCCATCTGGCTGGGTTTCCCCAGCCACTCTGGGCAGCTTACAGCATATATAAAAACATAATAAAACTTCAAACATTAAAAAAACCCCAGAATATCTTATACCTTGATCTTGTATTCTTTTTACTGATGTTTCTCTCTGGTTAATCACCTTCAGAACCAATTGGTCGAAGGGCATAAAATAAATAAGCATCTAAAAACCAAAAAAACCCAAAGGGCCTGCTGATTTAGAATCCCTGGTTTCTCCCAGGCAAATTACAGGTAAACAAATGGGTGGCATTTCCTTTGAAATCATAAAACTGATCCTCCTCCTGCCTCAGCCTATATCAAGTGCAGTAATCAGCCATGGCATTCTATTTGTACCACACGGCATGAGGCAAAACACTACCTGAAACATTGGATAAATCTTTGGAATGGTTTAAATGTACAAACTTCTGGCTGAGCGGCCTTATCTTTTAAGCAGATAAATAGAAGCGGCCATTTTCCTCTCAAAAATTGCCTGGTCTTGAGGCATTGCGTCCAAAATTACAGAAGGAATACTGCCAGGCAGCTGAAGCCAATGGCAGCCAACCCCTTCCACATACAAGAAAGCCCCTGGGAATGATGATGCTCCGTAGTGCATTGTTCCCATGGGGCATTTCATCCCAAAATGACAGAGATATTTCTGCTGGGCTGCTGAGGGCAGCTAAGGTCGCAAAGCCTCTTTCGCCCCTGCTAAAAACCAAACAATAGCTCTCAGCTGCCTTGTCTTTTAAGGTTTCTTTTTCTTATGTATTTTGTGTTTATCTTGTATTTTTATGTTGTGAAACGTCCTGAGATCTACAGGCGAAGGGTGGTATACAAATTTAATAAATAATAATAATAATAATAATAATAATAATAATAATGTCTGCCAAAAGGTACCCACCGTAGACAGCTATATCTATGCAAAGTGATAGGCCTGAGGTATTATCTTCCTCATGAACTTCTGACTACTTTTCAACAATCACTGGATGATTCCCCCCCTTCTTTTTTAAGATCCTTGGATCATGTCAGGCAGTCATGATTTAATCAGTTCCTGACAAATTTCCCTTGTCATTCTGCTCATTTACCTGATTTACAGCACCAGTTGGTACCATTCAATTTGTTTTTGACTCCTTCCTTTTTTAAAAGCTCCTATTTTAAGCAACCAGATGGGGGAAGAAGCGAATTATTGAAGGCTGAATTCTCACCTCTCATCTCGTGGGCTGGCTGCCGCTGTGTGAACTGTGAAGTTAAGGACAAGAATTTAATTACATTTCATAGCCTCGGGCATCCATTCTGACCACTGAGAGATACAAAACCGATAGTCCGAAAATAATATACTAATAAGATTCTGCCAACTGTGACCCTCCCCAAGCACCTTACATGCAAGAAAAAATTATAAATTTAGACTGAAAAATAGGATTAACACCAAAACAGGAGGAAGTGTGTGGCTTTAGATCTGCAGGTGCACATTTTACCGCAAGGGTGGGGAACCTCCGCCCACTAGGCCGAACCTCAGCCACCAGGCCTCCCCATTTGGCCTGTGAGGTAGTTTTCATGCCCCAAACATGTTTGGGACACGTAAGGGAAGCGGCTAAAGCAAGACTGAATTCCCCATATGTCAGCTGCTTTACAGGGAGCTCAGTTCTGCTACTGTGAAGAAATCCCTGGGCTTAGATGACTCAGAAGTTTCTTGTTCTTCATGTTCACCATATACCGACCCTTCTATTCAAGCCGCTTTTCGCACTTGGCGCCAGCTGGTGGACCTCAGGGTTCATGGGGAAAGCCAGTGCAGGTCCCACAAAGTCCAAGTCCTTCTGGCTCCTCAAGAGATTGGGAAGAGTGAAGATGTGGGGGCAGTTTGCAGTAAGACCTAATGGAGACCGACCAACTAAACCAGTGGAAGTGCAGACAGCCCATTGATTCAGGTGCATGGAAGAGACTTTCTGGGGCATCACACTTTGGTATAAAGAATAGGAGCAGATTGGGGGACAGTACAATGTGGTGCTGGATGGATGTCAGCCTTCCAGAATGTCTGTAGTGCATATAGGTAAAAGTAAAGGTACCCCTGCCCGTACGGGCCAGTCGTGTCCGACTCTGGGGTTGCGCGCCCATCTCGCTTAAGAGGCCAGGGGCCAGCGCTGTCCGAAGACACTTCCGGGTCACGTGGCCAGCGTGACAAGCTGCATCTGGCGTGCCAGCGCAGCACACAGAAACGCCGTTTACCTTCCCGCTAGTAAGCGGTCCCTTTTTATCTACTTGCACCCGAGGGTGCTTTCGAACTGCTAGGTTGGCAGGCGCTGGGACCGAGCAACAGGAGCACACCCCGCTGCAGGGATTCGAACCGCCGACCTGACGATTGGCAAGTCCTAGGCGCTGAGGTTTTACCCATAGCGCCACCCGCGTCCCTGTAGTGCATATACATTTGTGCTAATAAAGAAAAGCAATCTAATGTGCAGGTGTTTCCGCCTTCCTTCAAAACTAATAGCACCCACTGTGAAGACTTTTGAGGGTGTGTTCATGTTACCTCCTTGGAGAGCAGTGAAGTTTTCCCCATCCTTGTTTTGTGTACAGACCCTTCAAGTTTCTGATTTGACCCTGGAATGTCCTCTTTTTCCTTAGGATGTCCCTATTTTCATTGGAGAAGTGATGGAGGGTATAGAGTTATGCAACCCCTGAGCCGTCTGAAGGCAGCCCTGTATAGGCAAGTTTTTAAATGTTTAATGCTTTGTTTTTTATATATATATAGGTGGAATCTGCCCAGAGTTGTTGTTGTTGTTGTTGTTGTTTTTGTTGTTGTTGTTATGGAATAGGACCTCCCTATTTTCATCAGAGAAATGTTGGAGGGTATGTGTGTACACACACCAGGGGGTGTTGACGTCTTTACCCTACACAAAGGTGTTGACATCTTGGTTTAATTAGGAACAGCAGAACTCCAAGCAGTGTGGAGCTGACTTGAGAAACAGCACATTCACAACAGTAGTATAATGAAATATAGAATACACATGCATTTTGGATAATGATGTGCAAACATGGATAAAACAAAAACACAGCACTAGAAATGCAGTGAGTGCCGAGAAAACCGGAGTGGGAACTCAACTTGAATTTCCCCCTTAGGATGTTTAAAACAGACTTCTAAGTATACCGTGTTTTATATTGCAAATCTTGGTGGTTTACATGATGGAACAGTCCAAGTACTTGTACGTAGTGATGAGGACGGAAGGTTTTGCTTCCAGCTTTCATTCATTCATCTAGCTCTTTAAAAATGCTAAAGAAGAAGAGCATTGCATTTATTTTCAGGGTGGATAATGGGGAGAGAAATTGCTTCTGTTTTCACTAAACCAGAAAAAGGACTGAATGCCAGCAGCACAACCACTTTAAATCTACAGGGCATGGCACAATCGATGCCAGGCTTTCTGCTGATGCAAGGTAAAGCGAGGGAGGAGGGAGAGGAAACTGCTGCAAAATAATCTCAAATGGGAAAATTTAGCTGTAATGGAATTTGACTTTGGCAGCAAACAGCAAGCGAAATTACTTTTGATGTCTAAACATCTGTCTGTCTGCCAAGCTTTAATAGATAAACAGGCTACTGCATGTTATGCTAAATTGTGTACATTAATGAGCAGGCAGTAGCCTGAAAAGCTGGATGGGTGTCTCGTGCCAATTTGCACTGTGGGCTCATGTGGGATTTCACGGATATTTAATTCTGCCTCAAAAATGGGGGATTGTTAGAGCCAGTGGTTTACCACAGATCTGTGGGCAAGCAGCCGATCTGCAATGAGGAAGTAATGAAGAAATGGTAGCTCCCCGTTGGAACTTTATGGTTCAGTTGCATCTAGGCTATGGCTTAGGAAATACATGGGCCAGCATCCACAGGACTATTTCAAAGCACACCCAAGGTGTACAATAATAAAAGGGCCCCTGTAGACCTTAGAGGCATCATAGATTGGTGGTAGAGCATGTGTCTTGCATGCAGAGGGGTAAAGGTCTTCAGCATCTGTGGCCAGAGCTGAGAATACCCCGACTAAAACCCTTGGAAAGCCACTGCCAGTTTCTACGGAACTGTAGAGTTGAAAATGGACACCAAGGGTCTTCTAGTCCAACCCCCTGCAATGCAGGGAACTCAGCTAAGAGGGGCCAGTGGGTCTGACTTCCTACGTTATTATCTTTCTCCAGTAGTTAAAATAGAGAGGAGTCTGTTAAAGGGCTTTGTGGTCGATTAATCACAGGTTTTTGTGGGCAGGAAGTCAGCTTAGCCCAACTTCCTCCTGGAAGTAGTAGTTGGGAAGGGGGAGGAGCCAAAGCAGTTCCTGTTCCTTTTACGTGCTCTGAATGCAGATTTCCTGGCTCAGAGAGGCGCAAGATCAAGGGTCAATAAGCAGGCTCTGGTGGTCAACTAAGTGGGGACTTGCAAGGAGTTTGACAAAGCGTGTTCTCCTTCATGGAGAGCACGTGTTGCGGTGGGGGCCTCCAGGACACTCCAAAGTTGGAGGGCGGGCTAATTGATCGTTGGCCACTGATGCGATTGGGGCTTCCTTTGTTGTTGGGAAGAAGTTAATGTTGCCATTTATTGATTGACAGCCAGAAATACTAAAACTCCTTGCACGAGGCTAGGGCTTCCTCTTTTCGCCCGTGCATCGGATTGATCACAGCAAAGGGAGACGGTTGTATTTTTCTACTAATTACCCATTATCCTTGTCTTTGGCCTGCTTTAATTGCGTTAGCTCTATTTAATTCTTAATTTTGTCCTTTGATTAAGTTTCCTCTCTGTGTAATAATTATTAATTTTATTTTAATTTTCCCTCTCTCCTTCTAAAATTTTTACCCTTCATTCCCCCCCCTTAGTCTTTTAATTTCCCCCTATCCCCCCTCCCCCCCCCACTGTAGCTCACCTTAACGTTTGGAGGCACTAGGCCTCTGCGAAGGGCGCAGCTGCCTAGGCCTTCTTCCTGGTTGGACGAAGGGCCTTTTTCCGGCAGCGCCTGGTGCCGCGCCGCAGCGGGGGGTGCCTCCGGCCCTGCTGGGCCTTCTTAGGCTTTCCCGAGCCCCCCGCCCCCCCCCCCCCGATTTCCGAGGCCGGATTCGGCCTTCTTTTGTCCTCGGCCCATTGTGTTCAGCCGCCTTTCCCTGCTCCGTTTTGGCGGGAACACCATTTTCTGGGCTTAAATTGCTCACGCAGGCCATGTAGTGGCCGCTCTGAGGCACTGCAGCCTGTTTTATTATTGCTTTATTTAGGCTCATAATTGCTGCTATCTGGTGGCCGTTCTGAGCATTGCTGCCTCCCTGATTTAATTATAAAGAAATACTTCTGCTGCCACCTTGTAGACATTCTGTGCATTGCAGCCTGTTGTTTTATTTTAGTACAGGGAAGCTAATTTGCTGCCAGCTAGTGGCCAATAAAGGAAAAGGCACCTTCTGGTTAATTGGATGCTCCTTAATTAAGTAGCTTACTGTTTTATTTTGGTTCGTTTTGTGATCGCCAGGTATCTGGGGTGCATTAACTTCTTTTCTCGTGTTGATATTTCTCTTTCTTGATGGCCATCATGTCTCCGAAGAGAGTCCCAGCGCAGCCTGCCTTGACCGTTCCACCTAAAAGGACCATTCGGGGACCTTCTCAGTCGCTTCGATCCCCCTCGACTGGTCACGCCTCAGGGGGTCTGCAATCTTTGGTTTCGAGCCTGGCAGGTGATCCAGCTGCTTTGGCTCGCTTTGCTTCTGAAGTAGATGGCCTGATCCAACGCTGTAGCGCCGGGCCTAGCCAGCAACCAGCGGTGACCACTGCGGCTGCAGTTTCTTCACCTTCTGATTCCGCATCTAGCGATGAAAATGATCTGCCCATGTCTGGTGTTTTGTTTTCCGATTCTCAGTTTTCTCGGAATGCGGGCTCAGCCCCTGCATCTAGTCACACGCGGGAGGGCAGAACCCCTTCTCGGCGCACAACCGGGAGCGGGCGACGGGGAAAGGCCCCTTCTAGGCATGGGGGGTCTTCTAGGCCAGGGTCAGCTTTGCAACCTTTACCTAGCACCTCCGTGGGTTCTGATCAGTCACCTGCCACCTCTTCTCAGTCTGTCCCAGGCGCTGCACTTCAGGGTCCAGCATCAGAGTCTTCTGAGGAGGACAGCCTACCTGTGCCAGCCAAGTCCTCTTCGGGCGGCACACGCCGCCACAAGAAGTCTTCCGGAACGCGTGCGAAGAGAAGGCAGAGGGACACCTCCTCTTCATCGACAGGTACATCTTCGCAGAGTTCAGAGTCTTGAGTCAGAGGCCTCCTCAGAATTTTATTGGGGTCTGGGGGAATTGGCCTCTGGTTTCCCCAAATGGATTTGGGAGCGGAGGGCCAACTCCCATCGAGCAAAATATGGGGCCACTCAGGAATACTTAAATGGGGTGTTGTTACCTGATATTAAGAAGTCGACTAATTTGGCTAGGGATGTGATCCCAGGATGTCACCTTTCAAAGAAGTTGAGAACTAGGATATTGAATGGTCGCTATGTTGACATGTTCAAACTGAGCCCTCCAGTAGACAGTTCACAGGCCCAAGAGAAGTCATTTCTATCCTCTAAGAAACGGGCTGCTGATTCTAAAGTGGATAGAACCTTCGAGCGCTGGTTGGATTGTTTCCAGGTTTTTGCCGGGGTCGTTTCAGCATGTTATCCCAAGAGAGCGGTTCATTTATTTGTCTACCACTCTATCGTACGGTAGGCAAATAAAAGACAACATAAGACATACAATAAATATCATTGAGTACTTAGAATGTAAAAACGAAATCCCTGCAGCTTTACTGTTTATTGATGCCGAAAAGGCATTCGATAACGTTTCCTGGCGTTTTCTTATAAAATGTTTGGAAATGACAGGGATAGAGGGCACATTCCTGGAAGGAATAAAAGCAATTTACTCACAACAAAGTGCTAAATTAATTATTAATAATAACTTAACAGAACCCTTTGAAATCTCGAAGGGTACTAGGCAGGGGTGCCCTCTGTCACCTCTTCTGTTTATTATGATGTTAGAGATAATTACAAATAAGATAAGAAAAACTTCAGAGATACGCGGAATAAAAATAGGAGTGAAAGAATACAAATTGAAAGCTTATGCTGACGACCTTATGTTGTCTTTGGAGGATCCAGAAGAGAGTGTCAGTAAGGTGTTAGATCTGTTAGAAGAATTCGGAAAACTATCCGGTTTTAAATTAAACAGAACAAAAACTAAAATGTTGATTAAAAATGTAGAAGAGAAGGTAAAAACCACCTTGAATCTCAGACTGGAATTAAAGTAACCAAAAAAAAAGTAAAATACCTTGGAATCTGGTTAACGACAAAGAACATCAATTTGATGGAAGATAATTATACAACCGCATGGAAAGAAATAAGGAAGGACTTAGATACCTGGAATAGAATAAAGCTATCCTGGTCGGGGAGAATGGCGGCAATAAAAATGAGTCTACTACCGAAACTGCTATTCTTATTTCAGAATATACCAATAATCAGGGGAACATCAATATTCAAGGACTGGCAGAAAATACTTTCTAAATTCATCTGGCAAGGAAAAAGGCCGAGAATTAGACTCAAATTACTCACAGACCAAAGAGATAGAGGAGGATTCGCAGTCCCAAATTTAAAGTTGTATTATGAAGCCTCATGCCTCTGTTGGGTCAAGGATTGGATTATTATAAAAAATAAAGATCTGCTAGATTTAGAAGGATTTGATTTAAGATTCGGTTGGCACGCTTACCTATGGCGTAATAAGGGAAAGATCCATAAAGGATTTTCTAACCATATCTTTAGAGGGCCATTACTGGAGGTGTGGGAAAGAAATAAAAAATTATTGGAACAGAATATCCCTTGGTGGCTTTCGCCAATCGATATCCTGACAATAAAAAAAGCAAATATCGAAGGAGAAAGATGGACCTACGAAGATTTATTAGTAAAAACAGAGACCGGTTGGAGGATTAGGCCATATGAAGAAATAAAGAACAAATTGACAGGTTGGATCCAATTTCATCAAATCAACTCTATCTGGACCGAGGATAAAAAAAATGGGATAAGTGAGAAAAAAACTAGATTCCAGATTGAAATATTAGAAAGTAAAACAAAACTCCTATCGAAAATGTATAGCCTGTTGCTCAAATGGGACACCAAAGATGAAGAAGTAAAGGAGGTAATGGTGAGATGGGCAATGGACTTTGGGTATAACATAGTTTGATAAATGGCAGGCACTATGGAATAAAGGTATGAGATTCTCGGCATGTACAACACTCAGGGAAAATATGTACAAAATGATGTACAGGTGGTACGTAACGCCCGTAAAACTGGAAAAAATATATAAAACTGGTGATAAATTATGCTGGAAGTGCAAGATTAAGGAGGGCGATTTCTATCATATGTGGTGGTTGTGCGAGCCTATTAGAAAATTTTGGGAATCTATTTACAATGAACTAAAAAAAATCTTTAAATATACCTTTATAAAAAGACCCGAAGCCTTTTTGCTGGGGATAATTGGAGAGGAAATCAAAAAGGAAGACCAAACACTCTTTCAGTACGCAACAGTGGCCGCCAGAACTCTAATAGCGCAGAATTGGAAGACACCAAGAATCCCAACCATAAATGAATGGCAATCTAAACTACTCGACTATCTAGAATTGGCAAAAATGACACAGAAAATAAGAAATCAAAAAGACACAAAGTTTAATAAAGATTGGAATAAATTTATGGCATACATGGAAACAGAGGTAAAAAAAATTAGAAATCACAGTAGGTGTGATATAACACTTGTGATGTAAAAAAATTTTTTTTGAGGAAAAGAAACTGCAGATAGAAAAATTTTGTAACACATTCCGAAACCGAGATGAAGGGAAGTCAGTCAGTGTTGTGTGTTATGTAGTTAATGTAGTCAATTTGTTGTTGTCTTATGTCAGGAGTATATATATATTTTTTATATATATATTTTTTCTTTATTTAGCTTTTTTTGGTGTGAATGTGTTGTGTATGTCTTTTTTGTTTGTATGGTGTTATAAAAATAATAATAAAAAAAAAAATACCACTCTATCGTACGTAAGGCGTTCGAAATGGCTGGTCAGAATGCTGCCTTTGATTATGATGAGAATTTCAGAAGAAGGGCAGCAAAAATTCCCACAGCCCAATGGGATTTGGATGTATGGACCACTTATGTGGCCCCTCAGTTTGAAAAGAAGACCCCTGAACCTCAAAAGCCAAAAACAGGAGGTTTTAAAAAGCGCTTGTATTGCTGGGATTACAGTAAAGGCTCTTGCCAGCGACAATCATGTAGGTTTCCTCATGTCTGCAAAAAATGTGGTGGCAACCACCCGGGCTCCACTTGCTTTGGCGGCCACCGGCCCTTTCGTGGGGGAAAGGAGGGGGGTCACAAGCTGCAAAAGCGCCCCCCCCCCTCAAGCAGCAGTTGGCGCTTCTAAGTGAGGCGGATATGGTTTTAGCTTATACGCCGGTACGGCTTCCAGAACTGGTTCATTGGTTGCAGTTTTACCCTAACTGTGAGGCAGCTGCTTATTTACAGGAGAGCTTTTCTTCTGGTTTTAGGATTCCGGTAGCTACGGTCCCCGTAGCACGGAATCCGGTTAATCAGCAGTCAGTTAGGGAAAGGCATGAAGTGGCACGTAAAAAGATTGAGAAAGAAATTGCCTTACGTCGTATGGCAGGCCCCTTCCTGGCTCTTCCTTTCGCTAATCTGCATCTCTCCCCCTTGGGAATTGTTCCGAAGAAAGCCCCCGGGGAATTTTGCCTTATTCATAACTTATCACACCCCAGGGGTTCGTCAGTAAATGACGCTATCCCCCCGGAGCTTTGTTCGGTAAAATACGCTACTCTTGATCATGCGATCAAGATGATCAGAAAATTTGGGACAGGTGCCCTGCTGGCGAAATGCGACATTGAGTCTGCTTTTCGTTTGTTGCCAATTAATCCTCAGGATTTCTGGCTTTTAGGGTTCCAGTTTGAAGGGGCATTTTATTTTGACAAAGCCATGCCCATGGGCTGCTCAATTTCATGCGCAGCTTTCGAGTGCTTTAGTACTTTTCTCGACTGGGCCTTGCGTTTTAAAACCAGCCTGGATGGGGTGACCCATTTTTTGGATGACTTTTTCACTGGCCTCGGCGAGGGACACGGGTGACTGCCTGGCCCTGCTTCAGGCTCTCGCATCTCTTACGGAAGAGTTGGGTGTCCCATTGGCATCGGATAAAACCGAGGGACCTTCCACTCAATTGACTTATTTAGGTATCCAATTGGATACAGTTGCATCTACATCTCGCTTACCTGAGGACAAATTGGTTAAATTGCGAAGGATAATAGAGGAGTTGCTCCCACTACGTAAGGTGACATTGCGTCAGTTGCAGTCCTTATTAGGCCACCTTAATTTTGCATGCAGGGTAGTGGCTCCCGGTCGCCCATTCTGTGCGCGCCTGGCCAGGCTTACTGCCGGCTTGCGTGCCCCTCATCATTGAGTGCGGCTGTCACCTGGTGTAAAGGCGGATTTGCAGTTATGGCTTGAATTCTTGAATGAATTCAATGGGGTGTCATTATGGCAGGACACTTTGACCCTCCATAATGACTTCCAAGTGCATTCTGATGCAGCAGGCTCTCTGGGTTTTGGGCTATACTGGAAAGGTCGTTGGTGCGCATTGCCCTGGCAGCCATCGTGGCGAGGGGAGCCTATTACGCGGGACTTAACTTTTCTTGAGTTCTTTCCCATTGCAGTGGCAGTGCACCTGTGGGTCAAGGAATTCAAGGACCATCGAGTTTGTTTCTGGTCCGATAACCAGGACGTTGTGAACATGTTGGCAAAACAGTCGTCCCGTTCAGCCAGGGTATCGGCCCTTCTCAGGGCTTTTGTTTTGCATTGCCTGCGCTTTAACATTGTGTTTTCAGCTCGATTCATCCCTGGCGTTTCTAACGAAATCGCTGATGCTCTGTCCCGTTTTCAGATGGAGCGGTTCAGGTCCCTTGCTCCAGAGGCGAATCTGCTGCCAGAAAATTTCCCGGATCATCTCTGGAACCTTGGCAGCAATTAGTCTTACAGGGAGTAGCCACGTCCATTTCACCTTCCACTCTGCGCTCATATAATCGAGCTTGGACTGACTTTTTAAAATTTTGTTGTCAGTCTTTGTCTATGGAGATTGTGTCATCTCCTTCTACTTCATAGGTGCTGCAGTATTTGGCGCACCTTTTCCAATTGGGTCGAGCGGCCAGGACGCTCAGGATCCAAGCAGCAGCCATCTCCTTTTTTGTAAAGCCTTCTTTAATAAGGATCCTTGCGCCAAATTTGTTGTGCTCAGGGCTCTGGAAGGTTGGGGGAGGCTTGGAACTCGACCCCCTTTGGTAAGAAAGCCTATAACTTTTGATTTGCTTACCAGCATGCGCTCGAAGTTGAGGAGCGTCTGCTGGTCCAGATATGAAGCGCGGCTTTTTTCAGCCGCCTTTTCTTTGGCCTTTTTTGGTGCCCTGATGGTAGGTGAGGTGGTATTGGAGGTCATCCGGGGCACAGAGTCTAGGGGTTTGCTTTTGCAGGACGTAATTCTATCCCCTTCGGAGGTGGTCCTATCTATCCGGAATTAAAAGACAGACCAGTTAGGCAGGGGTGCTACTCTTAGGCTCCCCGCCACTGGGGGTAAAGGTCCTTGCCCGGTTAAGGATACCTCCAAATATTTGAACCTTAGGCCTCGGGGGGAGGGTCCCTTCTTTATTCACGAGAATGGTGCCCCATTGGCCAGGCATCAATTTGCCAAGGTGATGCGCAAAGTGACTGCAGCTTGCGGTTTGACGACAGCAGATTACGCCCCTCATTCTTTCCGCATTGGTGCTGCCACTTCGGCAGCTCATTGGGGGTTGTCTGTAGAAAGAATTAAGAACATGGGTCGTTGGAAGTCTAATGCGTTTCGCGGCTATGTGCATAGCCATCGTTGATTGCTTGTACTTACATTTGCTTGTCTTTCTTAGGTGTGGCGGCTGTTCGCATTTGGATGGTGGGCCACAGCATTGTCCACTGGGCCAGCATCAGAGCGAGGGAGTCTGGACTTGGACCCAGTCTTGGCCTGCCTCATCACGTGCAGGTGTCCTGGCTGACCAGACATGGAATGCTGTGGGCCGAATTGCTTCCCCTTGTTCGGAAGCACGTGAGGTTGGAAGGGCCCTTCAGCTATCGTGCTCCAGTTGGGGGGAAACGATCTGCCCGCCACAGACTGTTGTTCTTTACGCTTTACAATTCAAAGGGACTTAGTTGAATTGGCAGAGTTTTTACCGGGTGTGAAAGTTTTTTGGTCCCAGTTGCTGCAGAGGCGCACCTGGCGTGGCAGTCGCTGTCCAGCTGCCACTGAAGGAGCCAGAAAGCGCGATAATAAGGTGGCAATGAAAACAGCCATTGCTCATGGTGGTTCCGTGATTGCGCACCCCAATATCACCTTCAAGGAGGCCGTCCTTTTCAGGGACGATGGTGTGCATCTTTCCCCATTGGGAAATGACACATGGTTAAATTCTGTTGGGTTGGGTTTGAAGGTGGGGTTGCAGTTGTGAGTGGTTGGCGGCGAGCTTGAGTGCTCGGTGGCTGTTAGGCATTGGTTTATGGTTTGGTTGGTTGAGGAGCATGGATTGGCTGTGCCTGCCCCTCTAATGCTGCTGCTGCAAGGGATTCCGTTAAAGGAATTGGGAGCTAACTATTGCTTGTCCACTCTGTCAAGGGGGCTCGGGCCATAGCAATGAGCTCCTGGTTGTATTTGGGGTGAGGGCAGGTTCCCTGCTCCGCATAACCCCCAAGTGTATTCCCCCATTCTGACTTTCGCATCGTGCGGAATGTCAGTCTGTCCCCCATGGTGGGGGCAGATAGTCGCAACCAATGCCTACGCAACCACTCACAAATTTGTATTTTAATAAAGTTGTGGCCAAAATTATGCCAAAAATCTTAAACAAAAATTTCTGTGTGATGTGTGAGTTATTTGGGGTGGACCTGGGGACCTCGACACGCAAGTGCTAGATTATGATTACCCCTGATGCCAGCTTTGGTTTCATATTTTGTATTCAATTGAGCTCCCGTCATTAAAAACAAAACAAATCTCTATAGATCTCTGATCAATAGCCTATTTCAATTTTAAGTATTTACTCACTACTTTTCGAAGAAACTGAAACTTTTTGCAAATAATGTCTAGTACTATTACGTGCCTTGTAGCTTCATAGCAGCTGACTGTCAAATGGTAAGAGAACTCATTTCATATGCTGCAGTTAAATCAGAGCTGTGCCAGCAATCTTCTCCCCTAGCTATTGCTCCACGTGGCTTCTAAAAAAAGGGAATGTGATTTTTCAGAGACGCTTAAAGGGAGATGCTTAATTATTTGTCCCGCAAATTAATTTTAAGCTAGTCACAATTTTTAACTCCTTGAAACGGAATTTGTTTTTGAAACGTCCTATATATAGATATTTGCTGTTGCTGGGAAATAAGCATACCTATTTACAGGACAAATCGGCAAGCCCTGTACTGTGCAATCAATCTTCTTACTCCGCATTACTTTATACTTCTTTCCCTAAAAGGGAAAACCACCTTGTTTTTTATTGAATAATAATTCACAATTATTATAGAATGCAATTGAAGAATTGGTGAACCTGAAGCAGCAATGGGGGACATCACAAAGGAAAGTGCTTTAAACCATGTCAGACCATGTACTGGCTACACATACTGGCACAGACTTCAGACAGGAGATATTCCCATGGCTACCTGGAGATGCCAGGGATTGAACATGGAACATTCTGCATGCAAAGCAGATGCTCTACCACTGATCTGTGGACCCTTTTCTCGCTGCAAAGGTCACTTTCACCTGGCTACTGCTTAGCCAGAAAGCATTTAAGCTCTTGTCAGAGAGCCAGTTAAGAGATGTTAAGGAAGAGGGGTGTGAGGGCAAAGAAGAAGACAAAATGGGAGACGGGAAGGATTCCAGAGATGGTCTCAGAAAGTGACCCCACAGCATTCCTGTAGTGGAAATGCGGAAGACATTAGAGCAAGGGAGTCTGGACTTGGAGCTGACTTTGGCCTTCCCCATCATGTGCAGGTGTCCTGGTTGTCCAGCCGTGGAATGCTGTGGGCCAAACTCCTCCCAAATGGTTTGGAGGCATGTGTGTTCAAAGGGGCCCCCTACGGCAATTGTGCTGCAGCTGGGGGGGAAATGATTTGCCTGTCACTGATTGTTGTGCCTTACGTCATGCAATTCAAAGGGACTTGGGGGAATTAGTGGCCTTTTTACCAGACGTAAAAATATTTTGTTCGCAATTGCTGCAGAGGTGCTCGTGGCGTGGCAGTCATACCCCAGCTGCCACCGAGCAGGCCAGAAAGCGCACTAATAAAGTGGCGGTAAAAAAGGTTCTTGCATTAGGTGGTTCCGTGATTTTGCACCCTGCGATTACCTTCAAGGCGACTGCCCTTTTTAGGCCTGATGGGATTCATCTTTCCTGATTGGGGAATGACACCTGGCTGAATACTATTGCGTTGGGTTTGAAGGAAGGGTTGCAGTTTTGAGTGGTTGGCGGCGAGCTTCAGTGCTTGATTGGCGGTTAGGCATTGGTTTTATTAATTGGTTGGTCAAGGGGTATGGATTGGCTGTGCCTGCCCCTCCAATGCTGCTGCTGCAAGGGTATTCCGTTAAAGGAATCCAGGGGCTTGCCATGCTTTTGTCCGAACCCCTGTCAAGGGGCTAGGGCCACGCAAGAGCCCCTGGGAGCATTTGGGGAGAGGTGAGGGCATGGTACCCAGCTCCATCTCTGTCCCCAAAACATTTTCCCTTTCTGACTTCGCGGGCGTGCGAATGTCAGTCTGTCAGATAGTCACAACCAATGCCTAAGCAACCACTCACATTTTCTGTATTTTAATAAAGTTGTGGCCAAAATTATGCCAAAAACCTTAAACAAAAATTCTGTGTGAATTGTGTTTTATTTGAGGTGGCTTGGGGACCTCAACGCGCAACAGGATGGAACAGACACCCAGCCTAACAATACCTGAAAGTAAATGAAGCTGAACAGTCTACACATGAGCAAAACTGTCACAGCTAAAATGGCCGCTGTTTCTTTAATGCATAAAAAAGCTGGGTCAGCATGAGTCAGCGGCCTGCACCGGGTTGTATATATAGAGTGAGAAATGTTGGGTTGGGTTGGTTGGTTGGTTAGTGAAAGCTGGTAGTGTTGGTGTGTACAGTTGGCCAGTTACTTTTGCAGAAAGGCTTTTTAATAATAAAAGCAGAAAGTACCCTGCAAGGGTATTTTTCTCGTGGACTCTTTTATGCCGACAAGGATCCGAGGACCAGGCTGAGGCGACAAAGGGAGGTCAGAACCTTTTTTTGTTTTTTGTTTTTTTTGTTTACAAACACTGACAAAAACTACCAGAAATTTCTCCATGAGGCAAAGTGTATGTCTTGAGACACATCCCTACACCTTGCGGCAAAATAAATAAATAAAAATAAAGCAAACTGGCTTTGGTGGCTCAAAGCAGCACCGGTCAGCCGACCACATGTTAGTATTATTATTATTTTAATGTACATTAGTACTTCTGCCAACTGCATGCAACTACATTGCCATAATTCAGACCAATTTGCCTTTGTTCCAAAAAGCTACTATTGCAGATCCAGAGGATTATTTGGTGTAATTGAACAGCAAACTGCACAAAATACCTCTTGCTCTTTTAGACTTACTTAAAGCCTTCCAATTGTGTTAACCGTAAATTTCTGCTAAATTCTCTTTCAAATTTCTGTCCCTAGATTTAAAAATGCACTGTTCCCCTCAAATGCTTGAATTAGAGCATACAATTTGTACTCACAATCAATCAAGTTATACAGAGACAAGGATGTCCACTATGTCCAATCTTACTTATTTTTTAGCAACTGCTTGTTTAGCCTCCAAAGACTACAGACCCAGATATTCAAGGTAAAGAGCATCTGATCACCCTATGCGCAGACAGCATGATGTTGATGTTAATAAATCCATTAGATGCAATATCTGGATTATTATTTTTTTTTAAAGCAAAATTTCAGGAAGTAGCAGGCAGATAAAAGAAAGCTCTTATTCATGCAGAGCTGGGAACTCACTCCCATAGGAGGCAGCGAGGGCCATCGACTTGGATGACTTTAAGAGAGTTAGACAAATTCATGGAGGATAAGTCTCTCAACGTCAACTAACCATAGAAGAGTTTGGATTTGATATCCCACTTTATCACTACCCGAAGGAGTCTCAAAGCGGCTAACATTCTCCTTTCCCTTCCTCCCCCACAACAAACACTCTGTGAGGTGAGTGGGGCTGAGAGACTTCAAAGAAGTGTGACTAGCCCAAGGTCACCCAGCAGCTGTAAGTGGAGGAGCGGAGATGCGAACCCGGTTCACCAGATCACAAGACTACCGCTCTTAACCACTACACCACAATGCTGTGCCCCTCACAGCTGAAGTCAGCAATGCTTCTGAATACCAGCTTCTGGAGAATTCTCGTGTTCCGGTCCTGCTTGCAGGATTCCCACAGGCATCTGGATGGCCACTGTGAGAACAGAATGCTGGACTAGATGGGCCATTGGCCCGATTCAGCTGGGCTCTACGTACATTATTATGTTGCCCATAATCGTTTCTCTCTGTGTAAGCACCAGCGCAAACATTTCATATGAGAGTTCACAGCTGGGTAAGGAGGTTGTGGCCCATTACACTCCATTCTCCAAAGGCCCATGACGGCCTTGATTTTAGCCACACAAAATCTTGGATCTAAATATTATTCTAACTTGAACTATGCTAGGCACTATCACAGTTAAATTCTCCTTTTTGAATTGTCTCGGCCTGTTGGGGTTTTGCTTAAATAAAAAGCCTATTGTTTTCTTCTTAAGACACTTTTATTTCTGTCCCCTTTCATAAGCAAGCAGCTGGTGCACGCCAGGAGATTTTAACCAAATACAAAGATGCTGTAGGATGTAATTTCAGTTAAAAGATATGCCAAAGGCAGAATAAAGCTAGCCTCCATTCAGCTATTTGTGGGTTTTGGATAGCTGAAATAAACATTAGCTATAAAGCAAATATCCTGAGGTTCAAGGAGACTTGCTTTGCTGAGCTACGTACTTTTTGGCCTGCTAATGTTTTTGGAAGCTGCAATCCTTTAGCAAACTGCTCTGTGATTCGGCACAGTGCCATTTTATTGAAAGATAATTCTAACTCAAGCCTTCAGATAACATACTTTCCTTGGGCGTACATGGCTGTGTCATCAAACAAATAAAAATAGCAGATATCCCAAAGCTTCTCCTCACGTCAGTGGGTCAAACGTGAAAGGATAGGGAAAGTCAGCTACCCTGTGCCATTATTCATTCATTTGAAGCCTCTCTTGTGTACACAGTGCTGTTCATCCCAGCACACACAAAGTGGGTTTTGCAAAAATGAAGCCCTAAGAACTTATTTGATGGCGTGACCACACAGGCAGCAGGGTAGGGACTTCTCTGTCCATGTTGACCAGCCTCCTGTGTGAGGGATGATGGGATGGTAGTTTGTTCAAACTACATCTGGAGGTTACCAGGTTGTGAAACACTGCTTAACGTGCACATGTGCTTCTCTCAAAAGGATTTGCCAGACCCTTAAGAAAGGAATAAGCCACTCTTGTGGGTGTGCACACGCCTCCCAAAAAGCAGACAGAGCTTGATTATAAAATGTTCTCCAGCCATAACAGATTCCTAAGAACATGAAAAGGCCTGCTAGATCAGGCAGATGACCCAACTACAGTTATTTACTTGAATCTAATGCACACCGTTTTTGGCCAAATACTGTCACGAAAATTAAGGTGTGAATTAGATTTGATGGCACATTAGATTTGATCGCCTAGATGGGGTGATCAAGTCCTGCTGGGTCTGCTTTTCTTCCTTTGGGCACCATGAAAAAGTCAAGCTCCTGCCAAGCAGGAGGCCCTGCCCTGCCCCTGTCCTTCACAGCTGGATGCGTGTGTGTCAGCCAGATGGGTCCACAGAAACCGCAGGAGCCAGGGGAAGCAAGTCGGGGGTTCAGTGCATGTTGCGGGGTTTGCTCGGATAAATGCATGGACATCCTACTTGCCCCGCTTGGTGCACTGGCCACTGGCTGAAGATTGCGCCCCCCTCCCAAGAAAAAGAACTTGACCTTACCAGCAAACAAGGTGAAGTGTCGCAGGAACTGGCATTGTCCCACAGAAAAGAGTCTGGCTGCAGGTGTGGGCACAGTGGCCCATTCTCGCAGAGGTAGTATTTGAGACGGAAAATGGCGGCTCTCAGGAGAAAAGATTGAACAGGCCTCAGACCCTGAACGGCCTGTCCTGGAGATTGCCACCTTTGTCCTTGAACAACCGAAACTTGCAAATCTGCTTCTGCTGCCGTTTGGCACGCCCTCAAGTTTGTTTATTTTTTTAATTGAGACTTAATTTTTAAATGTCCTCTCTTTGTTTTGATCTTTAACCTTAACTCAAGTACAGAGTCTGACTTCTTGCCTTTTTTGGATTTACTAAAGAATACTAAATTTTATATTGGAGTTTTGCTACCAGTTTGACTCCTGATTTTAAACCCCCCATTTTGCTCTCATTTTTATATAATTTACTCCCCTTTCCCTCCTTCTTTCTTTTCCCACCCAGTAACTCATCATTTGTCATCTATAGTTTTGAGGAATACAGTGGTGCCCCGCAAGACGAATGCCTTGCAAGACGAAAAACTCGCTAGACGAAAGGGTTTTCTGTTTTTTGAGTCGTTCCACAAGACGAATTTCCCTATGGGCTTGCTTCGCAAGACGAAACGTCTTGCGAGTTCTTGCGAGTTTGTTTCCTTATTCTTAAAGCCGCTAAGCCGTTAATAGCCGCTAAGCCTCTAAGCTACTAAGCCGTTAATAGCCGCTAAGCCTCTAAGCTACTAAGCCGTTAATAGCCACTAAGCCGCTAATAGCCGTGCTTCGCAAGACGAAAAAACCGCAAGACGAAGAGACTCGCGGAACGGATTAATTTCGTCTTGCGAGGCACCACTGTAATAATAATAAATTTATCAAAGAATAGGGAGTCGGGTTTTGTTTTTTTTGTAAAAGTGAAATCATAATAAAAATTCATTGTTGTAAAGAGTGCACTTTTTGCTGATGCACATGACATTCGCCAGCAAATACTTTTTTTGTTGTTTCAAGGTTTTGAAAATTGAGGTGCGTGTTAAGATTTGATGGTGTATTGCTTTTGAGTAAATACGGTAGGCCAGCACCCTGCTCTGACAGTGGCCAAGCAGATACCTGTGTGAAATCCTTAAGCAGGATCTGTGCAGACAAGCACTCTCCTCTTCCTGTGGCCTCTAGCAAGTGGTATTTTGAAGCATGGAGCATGACTGCAATAACTAGTAGCTATTGATAGCTTCCAGCTCCATGAATTTCTCCAATCCTGTTTTAAACCCATCAAGTTTCCATCACTCCTTCCTGCAGGAGCAAGTTCCAAAGTTGAGCTATATGGTTTATTGGCAGGCTTCTATTAATAATTATACAATAGCATTGCAAAAAGAACAGTAAACATTGAGCAAAACTGAAGACAAAGTTATATTTAACACAGATCAGGAAAACACATCATTCCAAATGTTAAGTATGGGCTAGACATACCCCTATGGGTGCGCGCGCGCACACACACACACACACACACAAACACAGCTGATTATTTAAAAAAAAACAAAAACCCATGTAATTTCTAATTGACATGACATGCAGTTAGACTGTTAGACACACTTCTTTAATAGGACAACAAATGTTCATGCCACCTAGTGGCTATACTGTAAACAAATAAAATCTCTATATGAGAACGAACACATTTAAAGGCTTTTGCAGTATGGAACAGTGCATTTCTTCTCACAACAAGCAAATGATGCACTTGCACTAAATGGTGGCATATTTCTGTGTCTCCAATTGCCCTGAGACAAAATCTAAGCAGAGTAGATCCTATTGACATCTAATCATCAAGGTGATGATCCAAGGAATATGGAGACCAAAAAGTGAATCTTGAAAGGTTAGATCTTCATGGATAAATAGTTGGAGCTCTGTCTCAGGGCTTCAGAGGAGGCCTCAGACACTAACATGATTAAAGGCAACATGAAGGCCCCAAAAGGTGGGGAAGTAGCTGCAATAATTGAGGACAGGAATTCAGATGAGTATATTAATAAAAGAAGGCATGTACTGGCCTTGGAGAGCAGCCCTAGCATCGTTTGAGTAGAAATTTCACATTCTTTCTAACCAGCTATCAGATTTTCTGTTTCTAAAACAGCAAATGACACACACAATCTTGCGTGAGTCTAACCAACCAGTCTGAGATCCAGCTCTTACAAGTGACGACTGAAGGTTTGGGGATGAACTGGAGGAACAATTGGACAGGGATGGGGGAGGGGAATCATCAATGAGGCCTACTGGAGAACCAGGAAAGGGGAAGGGGGACATAGTTCAGTTCATTATTTATTGGATACTCTCCCTGAATTTAACATACAATGATCCCCCAATAACATAGAAAGAGCTCATTGGATTCCAGGATGCAGAAGCAGAACTGGGGAAGCTCCAAGAGATGCGGTAATTCGCTTTGAACATTATAGGCTCAAAGACTCAATTTTCAAAGCACTACAGAATGTTAGAAACCTAAAATACTGTGAAGGTGGGGAGGGAAAGGAGGCGGGCAACTTTGCTTTTACCAGTAAACAGAAATAAGAAGAGGGGTGTGTACTCGCAACTGCCTTAGACAACAGCAGTAAGAAGGAAGAAGGCACTACGATTTTCCAGTGATCCAGAGCTGAGGAAGACCAGGGAGGGTCATTAAATCAGAATTGTAGAGATAAAAGGGGCTGAGATCCCTTCAATGATTCTCTCCCTCCCACCCCCACCATTTGCCAAAGCTGCCAGCAACACAAGGCTCAGGAAAGGTTAAGGGACCAGGTGGACAGTGGGCTGCACAGATTGCAGAAGCCCCTTCGCGGTGCTTCCTCTATGCTGCTTCCCCCCTATATTGGATGATTATTGCGGAAGATTATTGTGATTTTGAGGATAAGTGATCTGACATGGTCAACTCTTCCTGTCTGGTTATCTCTTCCCAATTCTGGTTTCTATGTTTTACTACTTTCTTTATCAATTGTAAAAGGCCTTTGATGTATAGCCTGGTTTTTCCCCGTTGTAATTTTGGTCAGCCCCCCCCCCCATGCCTTTGACGGTAGTCAGCAGGCGTTGGTGCCTGTGAAGTAAGACTCAGTTTCCCTCCGAGTTCCTTTTTCCTCCCGCCCTCCACATACCCGAGGGAATAACGCGTGAGCCTTTCGGGGGTTGGCGTCGTCCAAATAAATAAAATCTCCTTTGGGTCGCATTGTATTGTCGAGGGAGATTTTCTCAGGCGATTTGGACGCAGCGCGTGGGCTGTGTTCAACTGGATTAACCAGGCAGCTGCCAATTGGTGCTGCTGGGCAATTGTGGGGCCAGCTACCTTGCAGCAGCTTCTTGCCCTGAGAGAGATAGCAACAAATACCGGCAATCTCTCTTTTAACCCCCCCCCTTGTGTCCGGTATCATTGTTTGGTTAAACAGCAGCTTCTTGCCCTCTTTCTATTGCTGGTTTCCTATTCAACCCACTGTCAGCTTTATCCTTTCAGGGGAACAGCTCCTGACAGTTGATTCGGTGGCCGACTTTATAATCAGCTAAATCTTTTCAGGGGAACAGCTCCTGCCCGTTTTATTTGCATCTGACTTTAGAACAGTGTCCGATTTTAGAATTGCTGCCAGCTAAATATTTTCAGGGAACAGCTGCCTGGCAGGATACATTGTTCACCTTTACGACCGACAGTTCCGGCTATTGTTAACTTAAGTGCCTGCCAGGTCAGGGGCAATTCATTATAATATAAATATAATTCATTTGACTTGCTAGCATTGGCTATTAATTCAGAAGTGATAGTAATAATATCTAGCTCATCAGCTATTGCAACCAAACTTTAGTTAATAAACATTAATATTGAACATTAATAACATATTAATATTTAGTATCAATACACTTAATTAATTAATTAAAAAAGAAAACAAACAATAATAAATAAACAATAATAACAAATAAATAGATAAATTAATTTAAAAAAAATAATTAAATATAATGGGTTTTTTAAAATGAAAAATTACATATATATTGATAATCAAATAATTAAAAAATTAATAAAAAATAAAATAAAAAATTTAATAAATAAATAAATATGTAAATAATAGTGACTCACTAAGTAATTAGGCACATTCTTCTAGAGCAACAGCCCGTGCCTGTGGCCCTTCGTATATTTTGTTTCACAGCTCATGGCCCCCAAGAGGAAGCGTGCGGCTGGGGAATCAGCACACACTGGCCGGTAACTGGACCCCATCACAGGTGCCCTGCGGTAAAAATAATAACCCCAAACCTATTTCACATTTTCTGAATGCTTTCAAATCATTCATTGATGACTATGAACAACGCTTTCCTGATCAACCCCACAGTCCAACTCCCTCCCCCGATGCCATTCCTGATACACTTCCGGATAGCCCAGCTTACGCACAGGTCGTTCTGGAGAGCCCGCCCGCCTCTTTCCCAGGCTGAGGATCTTCCGGGCACCCCTGCCACCCTCTTTAGCGACTCTCAGTTTACAAGGGCTGGTACTAGCTCTTGGTCCGGGTCGGCGGCAGTGCAGACTAGGTCCTGGGCTCGCTCAGCAGCGATCCTCAGAGCCGAAGTAGGGCGGCTGTGCAGAGGTCGACCTGCAGTAATAACCCGATCGCTTCTAGTTCCTTTACAGAATAAGCAGCCCAGGGTTCAGCTCCCGGAATCGGGCACATTGTCGGTGGGCGAGAAGCAGCAGCAGGAGGAGGAGCTGTTGGGATATGAGTGCTCACCAGCTGCATGATAGCAGCACATTGTTTACATCATGTGATTCTTCTGATGTTACTGAGTGTAAGACAGGATGTCCAACACTGCTCTCAAGGTTGTGTTCTCAGTGTAACTTGAGACCTTGCTGTTGTTGCTGCAAAGGAGGGTGGAGTGAGTTGTACGGAGGCTTTTGAGAGAGCAGACATGTTTTGTACTAGCTCGTGTACAGTCTGGGAATAAAGTAGAATGAGTTAGACTACTTTCAGACTGTTTTCTTTCTTCTGCTGAGATGCAAGGGGAAAGGGAGTGTTCATCTCTCAAGAGCGAGGTGTTGCTTATTACCAATCTCCCTGGACTGACCGAAGACCAGCCAGGGGCAGATCACCGGCAAGAGGCCCCAGTGCCTGGGAAGATGAGTCAGCCTTTCCTGAGGGGGCCGATTGCCAACAGGAGCCTCAGGCAGTGACCGAGGACAAGCCGTCAGGGAAAAGACGCACAAAGAAAAAGCAGGCTACGACATAGTATTTTTACAGGAGACATGCCTCACAGGGGATCTAGAAGTTAACGGCTTTTCCTCAATGTCCCTCACAGGATCCCCGAGCACTAAAGGGGGGGGAGAGTCAAGGGTGGCCTAGGCATTTTAATATCTACAAGGTTGAGGGCGTCCTTAGTAAAGTTAGAGACACTGAAACACCTGGCTATGGCCTTACTAGTGAAAAGTAGATTCTTCACCCTGCTACTGATTAATGTATATCTTCCCCCCCAAAGAGGCAAGCAGCTGATTAAAAACACCTGGCATGGGCTGGAAACATACATTGATGGTTTGATGACTCAAACCCCTGCAGCTTCAGTGCTAGTGGCTGGTGATCTTAATGCCAGAATTGGCCAGTCTGACGAAGCACTATATGCACACTTCCACGACTCGCCACCCATCGTGGAAGAAAACCACCTTATACCCACCAGACTCTCAAAAGACAAGGGATGTAATTATGCAGGTCTGTGCCTATTGCGTCTCTCTAACAAGCTGGACCTGGTCATACTAAATGGGCGCAAGAATGGGGAGACTTGTGGGGAATTTACTTTTATATCAAATGCAGGAGCTTCCACTATCGACTATGTTATGGTATCATTTAATCTCCTAAATAGAGCCCTTGAGTGCAAAGTGGAGGAGAGGGTTGATAGTGATCACTTACCGCTCTGCCTCCTCCTGGATGCAAGAAAAGACCTATTTTGCAACGATAAACTTGAAGCCCCCAGGTCCTCCAACATGGAGTTGAGATACTCACGTATTAGATGGTCCGAAAAGCTGAATGCCGAAACATCTGAAAGGCTATACTCGGACATATTCCTCATGAGAAGAGATAATCTCTTAAACTCACCATGTTCTGAATCTAGAATAATCTTGTTCCAGGATCTGATCTCACTTTTGCAACCCCACCTGATTCAAAAAAAGACATCGTGCCAACCTTTATTCCCCAACAAATCCAAACCCTGGTTTGATCAGGAATGTATTGCTACAAAGCGTTCTTTGCTGGATAAGTACAGGAATTACAAATCAGCGAACTTACCCTTGCTTCCCGTGGAATGGTTCGAAGCCAAACGTAAATATAAAGATCTGATTAAAAAGAAAAAGCTTCAGGCCCAAAGGGGGGAGTGGCAACGTTTACTAGAGGCCTCTCGAAGGAAAGACTCAGCTACTTTTTGGAAAATAGTCGCGAAAAGTTGGCAAGACTCCCCCATTGAAATTGATTATACTCTACCAGTTGGGATTTGGGAGGCTTACTTTCTATCTTTATATACATCAAATCAACATCTGCAGGCCCTGCCCCCAGCTCCGAGTGATACTGGCGCTGTATGGCCCCCAGTAGCAACTGAAGAGATCTATAGGCTCATCCAATCCCTTAAACCTGGAAAAGCACCCGGCGTAGACAACATTACACCGTAACTCCTTAAGGCTAATGTTGAATGGTGGGCCCCTGTGCTAGCTGCCCTATTTACCAGCATAGATCAATCGGCCAGTATCCCTGAGGACTGGGGATTAGCAATCATCATCCCTTTATTCAAGAAAGGGAGCCGATCAGATCCGGCTAATTACAGGCCAATCAGCCTCCTAAGTATCATTAGCAAATTGTACGCTGCCCACCTATGCGACAAATTAGTGGACTGGTTGAAACAAGACCACATTCTTTCAGAAGCACAGGCTGGTTTTAGGGCAAATCGGTCAACCTTAGACCAGGGCCTTGTTCTCCAACATCTTGTGGAGAAATATACATCAAGAAAAGGAGGTTCCCTATACGTGGCCTTTATAGATTTCAAATCTGCTTTTGATTTAATACCGAGGGACAGGCTTTGGGGAAAGCTAAGCGCCGCAAATATAAACAAACGCCTACTGTATCTCATCCACAGTCTATATGAAAATACACGGATCCGGGTAAGGTGTGACCGACAGGGCCACCTATCCAAGGAAATCCAAATCCATCAGGGGGTCAGGCAAGGGTGTGTCCTTGCGCCTATCTTGTTTAACTTTTATATCAACTCGCTAGTAGGAAATACGGAGAAAGAAAATGCCCATCCCCCCAAATTGGCTGGTACGCCCCTCCCGGTCCTTTTATATGTGGATGACACAGTTTTAATTTCTTGTGTTGGATTAAGAAAACTTTTGAGATCTTTTACCAAATACTGCAGCATCGAACAACTAACAATTAACTACAACAAATCCAAAGTCATGGTGTTCTCTAAAAAAAGGAGGAGGCACAAATGGAGAATAGACAATCGCTCAATAGAACAGGTAGCAACCTTTAAATACCTGGGTGTAACCTTCCAGGAAAGGGGCTCCTGGCGCTTTCAGATTAATAATACTATTGCAAATGCAGAAAGATCTACCAAAGCGTTAATAAGATTCTTCTATGGGAAAGGGGGCCAACACATACCGGCAGCCTCCCAGGTCTTTGCTGCCAAAATACTATCACAATTGTTATATGGATCCCAGATCTGCAGCTTTAAAAACCTTACTCTCTTAGAGGCATTCCAAACTAAGTTTTTCCGCTGCCTGCTGGGGATCCCTCTTGCGTATCCAACATAGCGGTCCGTTTGGAGGTTGGGCAAATTCCTATCAGTACTCGGATATGGATATTGAAGATCCATTATTGGCTAAAGCTTATTTTCTTCCCGGTTGGGCTGGCACCTTTAACCTTATTAGATACCTACCAATCCAAATGGAAAGCTACACTGCTGGAAAAGCTTAAAGGCTTGGGGATCCCACAGCAGACCCTGATAGCGACAGGCTTCGAGAAAGCTAGGACTACAATTCGCCAGCGTATCTGGGACGTAGAATTACAATGCCACATGAGCGAAATGATCAAACATCCAGCAATAAGGGACCATGGGAGAGGTTTCTCTCCAGCTAACTATCTGTCAGGTCTTCAGGTACCCAAATACAGACGGTCTTTTACCCTCGCCAGATTCAACGTTCTCCCTTCTGCCTTACTTCAGGGCAGATTTGAGGGTAAACCATACACAGCACGGGTCTGCCCTTGTGGCTCGTTGGAAGTTGAAACTGCTTCACATGTACTATTACGTTGTCGTCTTTACGAGGATATACGTTTGACTTTTATTACACCTGTTTTGCAAAAGTCCAGGAAAGAATCGGAACACCATAGTTTAAAACTACTGCTAGAGGACAAGAATCCCAAGACTACGTTAAATGTAGCCAAATTCTGTGTGTCTGCAATTAATCGCAGGAAGCAAGTGGTATCCCATAATGACCAAACCCCTAAATGTTAATTACAGGGGGCACGCTAAAAATTAATTTTAATTTTTATATTTAAATCCTTGTTATATTCATATTGTCCTCTGCATTTCTGATATTTTTTTTTTTAATGATTTGTGATATTGTGTGTGTTGACGCTGGTCTGTGACCGTATTAATAAATTCATTCATTCATTCATTCAAAGAAAAAGCATGTTTGCAAGAAAAACAAGTTAAAGGCTGACGACACGGACGATGACACAGGTAGTTCCTCCGAGTACGACAGTGATGCCTCCCTTGGCTCTTATTGGGGTAGAGGGGAGAATATTTCGGGGCTCCCAGATTGGGCTCTCTCCAGGAGACCTAATTCCCACCGTAAAAAGTTCAGGGGAACTCAGGAGTGGAAGAATGGGGCCCTAGTTAAAGATTTGACTACTTACACTACCGAAGATGTCATCCCGGAGGACCACCTCTCACCAAAAATGTGGGCTAAGATTTTGAACGGAGTTCGTGGACACGTTCCAATTGGTTCCCCCAGCTGAGGAGTTAGGGAGGGGAGAAAAGAGGCCCTCTTATGGTAAACGCAAAAGCAAGTACCCTTCAGTCCCGAGGACTTTTGAAAACTAGCTAGACGGTTTTCAAGCCTACATGGGGACAATAGTAGCCGCTTATCCCAAACGAGCAGTTCATCTGGTGGCCTATTTGTCGCACATCAGAACGGCCTACACCCTTTCGAGGGAGGCCGCTGCTATTAGCTACGATAAGAAATTTCACAGAAAGGCTTCTAGGATTCCTCTGACGTGCTGGGATCAGATCGAAAATGGCATTTGGTCGGTAGCGGTTGGACCGTATGTTGAGAAAAAGCCAGTAGATGCATATTGCTTGGCAAGGCTGGAAATAAGGAAGGACCCTAAATGCAAGGTGTGCTGGGAATTCAATAAAGGGCCATGCCAAAGGCAGTCTTCTAAGTACCCTCACGAGTGTGAGAGATGTGCCGGGACCCACCCAGCTGTTGCATGTTATAAGGGAAAACAGCCCTTTCGTGGAGGACAGGGGTTCAATCACTCCAGTTCCAGAGGAGCCCCCGCGGCACGGAACAGAAGATAGCGGATCTTTGGGTTTAGCCTTTTCCCCGATCAAGCTGTCTCCTCTCCGCAGCCTCTTATCCTATTACCCAGATAAAAGTGCGGCTTCTTATCTCTGGGAGGGTTTTTCCGAAGGCTTCCGAATCCCGGTAACAGGCCCCTTAATAGCGAGGGACTCTCCCAATCAGAAGCCCGTTAGGGAAAT